CCCCCCCCCCTTCCTCACCCGCCTCAAAGGCTTCTGAGGGGGCGATGGAGGGTTTCAAGCAGACTTTTCTACGGTAAAATAGCTGCTATCTAAGCTCCTGGGGAGGGTCAAAAGACGCCTTACCCCCTTCCCTTCTGGATCCGCCAATGTTTAAGGATAGTGTCAGAGTCATTTCAAAATTTGCACCAGTTTCGTCATTCGCTTCGAAATTTTGCATATATTGTTGAATGAGATAGGGCTCAATCCAAAATTTGCGTAGATTATCTGAAATTTCAAGATTTACATTTATTCCTAAATAGCATTAAAATTCGCTTCGAAATTTTGCGCATATTTCTTGGTAGTTCTGGGAATTTTGTTTCGAAATTTGCATATATTGGCTTAGCAGTGAGGTAAGCATTCGAAGTTGCACATATTTCAGATTACAGCTGAAATTTGACCCCGAAGTGCGCATTTTTTCTTCGACGCTGCTACGATCCGGTCCGAAATTTGAATATATCTGAAAGTGCATGGATGAAGAGGAAGTAATCGTGCTTAGCGACAGCGATGAGGAGGAGGAGGAGGCTGTGGCATCCGGTCCGAACACATCCCGCTACGGTTAACGATCTTTGGTTCCAGTGCAAAGGCCTTCTCCCCTCGCGTATTTCCCAAGCTTCCTCCTTTCATGCCCCGTCTTCTAGCCTCTTTCCAGGAGAATCTCCTGTGGCCCCATTAATGGTAACAAAAAGTCTTCTCACAGAACATCTTCGGATGATTTTTGGGATGCTGCAAAGAATTAGCTTCGAAATTCACGTGCGCTGAAAGCTGGAAGAGTACGGATACCTGTGGAATGCAGTAGTGGAAGCACCGTAGGTGATCCTATAACGGGCTGAGTCTTGATAGCTGAGGCCTTTGACACGCGAAATATATGGAAGAGGCAGTGCGTGCTTAGGCCATTGCATTAATTGATCACTTCGAAGCCAGCAAAAACCAATTTAAATAAATAGTAACGCGCATCAGACTAGCCGGTGCGATCATGCGTTTTGTGCAAGTCAGCCCATCGAACGATTGCCTGTTAATGATTTTCACTGCTTTGTACTTTAGTCTATGCAAAAATA